CCTGTTATGGTTATACCCAACAACTGCCATCGGGTATTGTGGCTAACCCGTGTGAGTGTGGAAAATGGTAGTAAAATGATGATGGTGATGTGGTGTGTGGTATGACATAGAGTAACCCCTCAGGAAGTCTCTGCTGATTAGACTAGATCAGGTTGTTTAAGTGAGAGCAGTCAGGTGTTGGTGGGTTTCATTATTTTCTCATTGTACTCTGACGCTGTGAAGCTCAGAAAGGATCAGGTCGAGTGACTTGTTCTTCTTTTCTCACCAGGTTTCCCTAAAATCAGAGTTACGTCTTCATCATGTGTGTCCATAATAAGGCCCACATGAAGGGTGGCTACAAGTCCCTCTCACCCAGTATAGTGCCCCAGAGAGGGAGTGTTTAAGGTTGAACTATTCATCACTCTCTTTATCTGACAACCAGATCTTTGTTTGTTACTCCAGCAGTATAATTTTCTCTTATTGATTGCATTGGAATTATTCACTGCTTACGCTTTGTGTACAGTGAACAATAACAGACTTGGACCCAGTTTCCTCCAAGGCTCGGTATTAAACTCTGTAGGGTTGACGTACAAACAGACTAGATCTTTTTAACTGGGGTCTGACTTTAATATCAGCCACATCATTTGCTTCAATGTTGATGAATATATGTTGTGGGATAATTGAGTATTAATATAAATTCCATTGTCAAGGAATAAAGTGATTACACCTAATTTGATGTTGGTTGAAATCCATTCTCATGGCTTGTGTGTGAGAGCGTCTACCTGTGTATGTGTTTATGGTACAGTATCTCTTTCTGCTTCTACCATCATTAAGAAGGTTCAGCATGGGTGGATGCACTTTCTTTGAGATATAAAGACGGGAAACGGATTTATTTTTTCCTTTGACTATAATACTGCGGATAGTTATGAACCGAGTCAGTTTCTGGGAATGTTTGTGTTGATATTGTAGCTTTTTTTTTTATTTATTTTTTTTTTCGCCAAAAGGAATTGAATTCTATCTCATAATTATAATCTGTCTTAAGCCTTTTGACTTCCCTCGCCATCTTGTGATGTTAGATTGGTAAGGAGCTTCTTTCATTGTTTATTCTTTAGTTCCACAAACCATGCATGTTGGGTTCCCAAGTTCTTGATATGGTTTTAGGGCCCAAGGTTTTGACTCCTGTTCTGAATTGATTATGAAGATGTATTGTCTGCCTGGACTACTCAGCACGCACCACATTGCTCTAGAACTCAGAGACAGAGTAGAGAAGTGTACATCCGTTTATGATATTGTGCTGATACTTACCGAGACAGACGTTTGGGGGGTGGGCTAACAGCTCGTACTGTCGTAGTTGAATCGTCTCCAACCTGACAATCCATGTATTTTGCAAGATGAGAATATTAGCAAGTGTGTGTGTTGGTATTTCAATGTGTTGCCGTAAATCTCTCTTGGTGTTCTCTACACTTGTTGTCCATCACTTTCCCAAGTTGTTTTTCCTGTTTTCTTTGAGGTTTGTGTAGTTCTCGTTTCACCCCACAAAAAACTAGGAAAGGAGTTACGAGAAAGATAGAATTCATACATTATCTCAGTCCATTAAGTATACCTGAACTTCTCACATTTCACCTGTACTGTGTGAGTTTTATAAGCACCATCATTCTATATGAAAATCCAAACAAATCCAAAGAAGGGAACTTGTTACCTTTCCAGTCCTTTTCTCGGAAATACAATCGAGGAAATTTGACTTAAAAAACAAGCTTGCATGATATGAATACTGTGTTAGGAATTATGGCATTTGAATTAAAAATGATTATACTTTTAAAGACTTTTTTGAGTAAATGAGAGGAGGGACTTTAGGTAGAAATCAGATAAACATCATCTTCAAATTTATTCTACGATTAATATTTGAAGTGTGATGTCTTGAATTGTCGACTGTTGTTTTATGTAATTAAAACATGTGACAGGAAATTCCAGAGAGTGCAAGTCTAACGTGGGAATTGCGGTAGTTTGAGATTATCCGTGAAGAATGAGGGATGGATCGCTGAAAGATTCATCTGCTTCCCAGTTTTAGTCACATGAAAATTAACAACCCTTATTCTACCTGGGAGAAGGGGATTAGGTTAGGTTAGCATTAGGGTGATTAATCTTTAAGGAACATATGCTGCAAGGGGGTGAATATTAATGTGATCTGGAGGGGAGGAAAGATTGTAAATAAGACTGGTAGTACTTAAGGCAGTGTAGGTCAGGCTTATTCTGTGAAAAGGTTGATAGGGTAAAAGAGGTCAGTCAATGAGAGGAACCTTAATCGCTTTACAATGGGGACCCTATATTTTATTTGGATAATGTCAGACAATTTTATTCAACTCGGAGGCGTCTCCGTACACAAGTTGTTAAGGTAGACCGTTTAAGGTGGGTTAGATGGGAATGAGAGGTACAGCATTGACAGAGCAAGGAGTAGGTAAGTTTGCTGAACTATTGAATGTGTAGTTGATGAATAGTTTGAGAGAGAGAGATAGAAGAATTACATTGGTATGGACTTTGTGATGTATAACAAATTTTGGTGATTTTTAACATATCTGGTGCCAATTTGTGTGTTATTGTGTTCATGTAGAGAGGATTGCTTTTATAACAGACTTATCTCATACCTTTTTAGTAGATTTGTCCATATCAGATGCGCTGTTGAGTCTTTTAGATCCTCATAACTGGTGCTGTGTTGGCTTGGCATTATACCGTCTTGACAGTGGTCAGTCTTTGTTGATAATTACACAGGTTGTTTGAGAGGATGAAGGAATAATAGACCTTCACAGTTCCATCGTTTGTTGAATGAAGTGCAGTTGTTAAGGTAGCCTGACTAGTTTTTGACGCATCTGGTTTGCTCAAACAGACTTCTACCAAAATTGTGATTTGCTCGGTGAAAGAGAAGTGATGAAAATACAACACCTACTTTAAAGAAGAGACATCCCATAACTCACCAGCTGCCTGTTTAGTGTAGGCATCCACACAGTGATATAAAGATTATTATTTTATACTCCCACACAACACTCTGACATTTCTTTCGACTCTGTACGTGTAAGATACAGTATAATTGTTCCTCCTTTCCTTCTCCCTCTCTCACTGTTATGGGTAATGGATTAGGGGGCACAGAAACTTGTAGAAGAAATGAGTGAAAAACCTCAAAGAAAATAGGGGAGATGGGTGACATAGTAGCATTTTATAAGTACGAGATGACCTGATAAGGATTCTTAATAACCGTGTGGTCGAAACAATTTGTTATTCCTGTACCGTATAAGTCAGGATTGACCCAGGTTCTTATAGTGTTGAGAACTGTCACCAGGGAGCTCTTCTGTTTGCTGTGTGTTGCTCTATCCACCAGTGAGATACAGTACAAAGACCTATTACCAGATTTAATATCAATTATTTAAGTAAACAGAGTTGCTTTGTATAATAATCCTAAGTTTTTGTGTTACCATGAAGACTAGGTGGGGTTAGGTTACAGTTCGGTTATGCTACGTTGTGTTGGGTTAAGTTCGGTTATGCTACGTTGTGTTAGGTTAAGTTGTACAGTATTAGGTTATTTAAGGTTAAGTTCATTTAGGTTAGGTTAGTTGAGCATTTGGGTATTCAATCACCACATGAAATAAGTGGTGGTGCCTAATATTCACCTGGGTCATTTTTGTCCACTTTTAGAGGATACAAACTTACCTGGCCCAAGGCTTAAGGTGACCCAGTTGTAGAATATTGTAATATGAAGCATTATTAAACAATGTTATGTACATATCAGCACTGTATATCATGGGGCATCAAAATATTTTATGATTCATGGAAATACAATTAGTCTTTCTCATATAATAGCAAATGGCTGAGGTATTAGCTTATTTCCATAGTACAGTTAGGTGTGGCCAGATAGGGTGAAGCACTTTAGTACAGATAGGTGTGGCCAGATAGGGTGAAGCACCTTAGTACAGACAGGTGTGGCCAGATAGGGTGAAGCACCTTAGTACAGACAGGTGTGGCCAGATAGGGTGAGATACCACTGTTAAATTAAACATGGTGAGGCAGGGTGAGAAGTGTGATAACCTGTACAGAACTAAAGTAACCCGTCAGGTCTGGGTGTTGCTGCCACAGGATAGATGCCCCAATTGTTCACGTCCTCTCCATATTAAACAATAATACATATATCTGTTGATCAGGTGTGAGAGCCAGTTATTCATTGGTCTGGATTTGTTCTGTGTTGAGGAAGTTGTCGTAGGATGGTTCATGATGTATTTAAATCTGTTTCACAAGTGGGTGAATTATTTTTGGACCTGTCTGGAGGAAGATAATTATCATACATGGGCAGCATTATATATAGTTTTTTGTGTAAGAATTGTGTGAGTACTAATTACCCTAAAACTATGATTAAGATTTATTAGCAACTGAAAGATATATATACAGTATATATATTGTATATATATATTTCCAAACTCAGTACTGTATAGATTAAGGCTGTACTTGAGTAAGAATATTAAGTGTGACTCATAATACAGGTCAAGTCAGTTTATCCAAGAAAGAACATGTGAGTTAGGGAAGATCTTTTCATTTTCAAACTATAAAGTTTTCCTCATAATTAGGAATATGAATTAATCCATTTTTTTTTATTATTTTTTTTATTTCTCTTTTTTGTGCACTCTTCAAGATGGTGAGAGAGCGGCCGCCCCTGCCCTGAGCTCTGGTCATTCCCAGCACAACCTCCCTCTGCACTTCCCCTTGTTAGAAGCTGTGTATATGTTTCTTGTTGCAAAGTTTTACATTTGATTGCCCTTGTTTATTTACAAGTAGCTTCATAATTCTTTTTGTTCAGTTCTGCCCCTTAATTTTTATTAATTTTATTGGCAGAAACTCTTTTCTTCACTTACTCTCAGATTTGATGCAGGTTTCAGGCTACTCTGATGATGTAATTAACCTAGCGATGAGAACACAGCCTCTGTGTTGATGTTCTCACCGCTTCATCGCGGCCCCATCTTGACTCTCTTCAATTTTATTAGGACTTAAACAGCCGTGAAAGCAACTTAGGCATCATTTGAAAGCAGGCGTGACAATGGTTGCGTGAGGACCAAGTTTAGAGTGCGACTTGTGAGTATCGTGAGTGAGTCCGGCCGCCGCTACCTGGCTGCTGATCGCTGTCCTACCTGTGTCCGGTGTGGGCCCTGTCCTGTCCTCACACTATCCCAACACTCTCCTGCACTATACAACATTCTGCACTATACAACACTCTGCACTATACAACACCTCTGCACCTTAATACAACATTTTGCATAATATACAGCAGTTGTCTTATCAATTATAAACTCACACTCAGCACTCTTATTACACTACTGTACTGGAACACTTATAAGCTCACAGCAACAAACATTTTTATATAGGAGAACTCATTAGAACAAATCTAATAGTTGTTGACAAGGCTTACTGTAAAGAGAACTCCATCATCCGTGGAAGTAACAGAAAATGATGTAAGATTGCTGTTGTCCTTTACTGTGGATAACTAGCATTCTATGGAGACATCAACCATATTAAGAAATAAATTATCTATTATTTCATGCCCAGAGTCTTGTATCACATAATGCAAGTCATATTGTATATAATATTAGTATTGTTCACCTTTTTTGTTGATACAAGATTGAGAAGATATTGTCCCTAACATGACTGAAGCTCATTACTGTATTTTTCAAGTCTAAATAATGATATAAATTGGAAAAAAAAAAACAAGAATATTAAGGGCACTGTTGCATCTCTAAAAAACAAAGACATTTTTCCCCCTTATTTAGGATTTTGGAAACAGACTCAGTGCACCTTAGATATATTTTGCTTCATCACTTTTTTTTAAAGAAAGGAAAGTTACGATTAGGAAGTTTTACATCAGACAGAAATATAAAAGAAAGTAATGAACCCATACAAGAAACATAACAATTAGTGTGGGATAAACTTAAAAGGTAAATTTTTAGATTGATACGTAATAGCTTTTAAATATGAATCATCACCACATATATATACATCTTTAGCCTCACCTAGACTTCACTTAGACCTTTAATAAACCCAAATTATTGCTCAGTTAAGCCAAGAACACAGACGCATACGCCTAACACGCTGGTCAAGTTATATGGTGTAGAGATGGTATTGCACTGTTCACTAATAGACTCACTACAGTTGGTCGGAGTTTTATTACACTTAGTTACTATTTTTTTACTCATTGGCTGCACAATTATTCACTGAGTGTAATCATTATTTTGCTGATTAAAAAATAATTACTGGTAGATATTGTTGTTTACTAAGTGTGTTCATTGATAATATTAAGTGTTGTTATTTTTTTTAATGTTTGCCTCATGATTAATTGCCTAACCCCCCCCTCCCTCCCTCCCTGTATTTGAAGATTATGATCAATAACTCTTGTATGTGTCAGAACCTTTACTTGAGTTGTCAGCTGTTTTGTGTCAGATTATGTAACTGGACTTAATTGTCAGTTAGTTTCTCTGATATGTCATGGATCAGCCAATTTAAAGTATGTCCTGAATCAGCTAATTTAAATTGTGTCATGGATCAGCCAATTTTGTCTTAATACTGTAGGTCATGGATCAGCCAATTTAAAGTACACTGTAGTAGGTCATGGATCAGACAATTTTCTCTTAATACATCATGGATCAGCCAATTTTCACTTCTGTACAGGATCCCTCAGAAATGAGCAATTAGCCATATTATTCATCAGGATCAAGTTAATACATTTTATACACAGTTCTCTCCCCTGTACACATTAATTTCACATTCACATTCGTTTAGAAACTTTGTAACTTGGGTCTTGTAGCCTCATTCAAAAACTGTAATTTGGGCTGTAATTCTCACTCATTCAGACACTTTATTTTGCCTGTATCTACAAAGGTCATTAGATTCAGGATGTTGTTGATCATCTTATGTGCAGTTGTGGACAAAGTTCCCTCGATACTCTGGGCAATATCTGGCATCTTCTTAGGGTTATGTAGGTAAAGGGGGGTTGGGGTTTTTAACGTCAATTTACTGTACTCAGAAATTTTCGTTGTGCTGTGAAACCTCCATGTAACGGACTTCTCTCTCCATATAATTCGTGAGATGGGGATTTCACATCTAACGGACCCTCGATATAATGGAATTTCCTCTCCTTAAAGTCCATTAAATAGAGGTTCCACTGTGCACTATTGTCAACTGTATTTTTATGTTGTTATTTTGATGTAATTTTTAACAAAGCAGCACTTACCGGTTAAAATTAAGTCACATATATGACTCGAGTAGATGCCAGGTGTTGTCTTATGTCGAGGGAATTTTGGCCATAATTGTACATCAAGTAATATTTTCATAATAGATCATCTCTCTGGTTATGTTGTTAGCAAAGATTTTATTTTATTCTACCTACACTTAATATTATTTGGATTTATTACTCTGATGAGGAATTCTTTTTGTAATATTGATCTTGAGATTTTAAATTGAGTAGCAGGTGACACAAAGCCATTCTTAGTTTTTTTACTTATATATTTTTCCCCCAAACATAAGTATTCCTGAAACTATTAAAATCGTGATTCAGGAAAAAGTCTTAGGTATGGCAGTATCACCTCACCCATCAACACATTGTTTGGGATAAGATCAGTTACATAGGTTCATTATCGTTTTTTCTTTTGGCAATACAGAACTGAATGTGTCTTACAAGTGTGTGATACAGAACTAAGGTAAATAATTTTTAAGACAGGAGGCATGTGTTCAGTTAGAGCCAGATTTCTATACAATATAGATTTCTACTCATCTGGTGTAACTCTTCTAGATTATTATATACCATAAACCCATGAACTAGGTCACACATTTTATGACCTCACATCACTAAAAGATAAAATATTAAAAAAAAACAGCAATATTCATCATACTTAATCTTCCCTTAGATAAAGCATGCAGGCATTGACCCTCTGTACACAACATACACAGGATTGGGATCAATGGAATTAATCAAACACACACATAATATAGGAGGAAAGGAAGACAAATTTAACATTGACCACTACAGTGACTCTCCTCATACACTACATAAAACCTACATGAGTCAAGTCAGTGGAGCAAATGTTGATACTCTAATGATCTTGTGTATAAAATATTGAGTAAGGATTCTGGGGGATTTTTGATAATATTTAAGATTAAGATTATTGACATTATTATTCTGAATTTTAAGTATTTTATTATCAAATGTCAGTTATGTTAAGTTATTCTCTTGTCATCTTGAAATATGAATATAATTGTTAAATTTTTTTCACTTGTGTAATTTATAAGTTATTGAATATTTAAATAAATATTAAGTACTGCTGTGCTAACATGACTCGTGGCCTCACTTATATATTAACCGGTTGATGACAGCGCATGTTCTGCTGCACTTCACTTACACCAGATTTGATCACGTTGGGAGCACCTTATTTCTTCTTTTAAACATTCTTATTGCAATTTTTTGCTTTATCCAAATTCACACTTTATTAACTTACATAACTTTCAACTCCTAGTACAATATATCACGGTCTCCAAGCATCGGTACACTGTCAGAGTTGCGGGTTCTTCACGACACAAACACGGGTCACCTTCTTCATCATCAGTAGTTGTTATGGTGGCGGGGAAAATCTTCTTTATTCTCTCTGTTTCTGTGATAGTGTAATAAGTAGGAGGTACATACACATTGAACATTAGGAAGCTTCTTCTTGCACAGTGTGAGACACTCAGCATGAGATAAGTTAGAGGTGTTCCTGCCAGTCGTGCAACATCCATGCATGATTCACTGGCTCAAGCGAACCTTTGGAGGGCCCTTGTTGAGGAAATTTACAAGTATATGGTGACGGACTGCAAGTTTCTGCAGTTTTCAAGAGCTCTGTAGTGCAGACAGAGCAGTGTACAGAGAACATAGGGTGTGTACACTTCCTGCAGTACTGTACAGTATTGGTGCAACTGTTGTTATTACACAAACTCCACAAACAGTCAGTGCTGAGTGCCACAGTGTTACAGCTCTGCCCCTCTGCTGCACCGTTGGGTTTTCCTGCTACCTTCATTATTCACAAGTATTTTTTATTAGGTTTTTTAGAACTGCAAACAAATTTCCTGTATGTTCGTCAGCTTCAGAAACAGCTTTATATTGTGGTTTTTTAAATAGAAGTAGTGAATGCATGCCGAGTGACTTTGACTTTTTTCTTAATTTTTTTAACTGTGACCACAGTCTTTAAAGTGTCTTAATCACACAGGGCTAATAAGTATTTCAGAGAAAATTAAACCTTTAAAATTACTGTATAGAACACGGTGTCTGTGGTGTTGTTTTATGAGGGTCTACAAGGATGACTTTTTGCTCCCTAGGTGTTGGCTTACTACCTTACAAATACCATTATAATTAATACAGGTACTAATGGTGTCATTATATATATATATATATACACACGGGGTATATATTTATTTATTTATTGTTTGTTTATTTATTTATGGGTATAATTTAGTATATGAACATTTGGAAAGTGTTCATTTGGGAGGGTCACCTTGATACCTTGAAGCAAAGAAAGCTGTAGGGAGTTTTAGTCTTCATGGTGAAAATTATGAACTTCATCCAGCCTGATGAACATTAAGAATTACTTCATGTTAATAATAATGACCGTATAGATGTCATAGAACAGTTGTATAGTAGAAAGAATCCTTCACTTGTTTAATGCATTTATTTTAACTCTAGGTGAGGTACTGGAGGAAGGCAGATTTATATAGTTATCCAATGAGCTTGAAGGATTGTTTAACAGATTCTAGGTATGATTAAGGTGATTACCGATAGAAGAATAGTTACAAAGATTATTATACAAGTTATGAGAAATGTCAATATGTTGAGGGAAAGTTGACTGTGAATGTGAAGAAAGATAAGTAATGGAACTAAACAGAGGAAGAAAGGGTGAAATAAATCTTTGGATGGAGATACTGAGGGAAACCGTGTATGTCAGACATCTAGGAGTGGATGTGTCGATTAATGAAACTATGAAGGCGTGGAAACAAAGTAACAGACATGAAATATATGGAAAAGTTTGTTAAAATAGACAAAGATGGAGATATGTAGGGGATTGGTAAGCCATCAACACTATGAAGGTTTAAATCCTAATTGGATGCAAATGAAGAAAGAAAATACAGTTGATAGAATTGATGTACTTATGCGGGTGACATAGATGGAATTGATGTACTTGTGTGGGGGGAAATAGAGGGAATTGTTGTACTTGTGTGGGGGAAATAAGATAGAATTGATGTACTTGTGTGGGGGGAAATAGAGGGAATTGATGTACTTGTGTGGGGGAAATAAGATAGAATTGATGTACTTGTGTGGGGGGAAATAGAGGGAATTGATGTACTTGTGTGGGGGAAATTAAGATAGAATTGATGTACTTGTGTGGGGGGAAATAGAGGGAATTGATGTACTTGTGTGGGGGAAATAAGATAGAATTGATGTACTTATGCGGGTGACATAGATGGAATTGATGTACTTGTGTGGGGGAAATAAGATAGAATTGATGTACTTGTGTGGGGGAAATAAGATAGAATTGATGTACTTGTGTGGGGGAAATAAGATAGAAACGATGCATCTGAAGACAGTGTATGGGGTAAAACAGGATGTAAAATGAATAATATGCCAGATAGAGAGATGGTGAGATTCTACTACGGTGTTAGGGTATAGTGAAAGAATATGAAATGAAAGATTGATTGAAAGAGTGTAGCTTGGAGGTGATTGATAGAAAGGAGGAGGAGAATACCAAGATGGGGAAGAATGAGGAGTGGGAAAGAGGGAGGTGGGAAGGATGGGGAAGAATGGGGGTGAAGGATATGCTGTACTGAGATCAAAGGAGAAGGCATCCAAGGAGTGGAGTAAGAGACTCCTTGGTGAATGTGGTTGGGTCACAAATATGGTCAACCTGATTACATCGCTAAGCACTCTTGTGTTGGTGTAACCCCTCCTGCTCAGCAGAAACATGGGAACAGTAGACTGGTCTTATCAACCACTTAAGTTCCTCCCACTAGCCTCGTGCGCTGGCAGATGCATCTCTAAGGGTGCAATTTGGGTGTGGATCGTTCTACCCAATGTTTATTAAAATGGAAAAACCGTTCCTGTTACCCCAAAAGACTGCTAGGGGGCGAGATTTCCAGCCATGGCCAGGAGTACCAGAAGGTTAATAGCTATACATTAGTGGTAAGTGTTCATAAGCATCATTAAGGAGTAGATAAGATTTTTAGAAGCACCATTAAGTAGTAGTGATGACGTTATAAGCACAATTAAACAGTAGATATTCGGTAGTAAAAGCATTAAAGGTGTATTATGAGTACCTGTATTATGATGGTGGTAACACGATGCAACATTAGTGGCAAAGTGTAACGAGTGATAGTGCTGTGTGGGGGAGCAGGTCATGTGCCTCAAACTGTAGCAACAAAATAGTAAAAACAGAGAAAGTTCCGTATATTATATTTTCACTCATTAGGCTGGGCACAGGATTGAACATCGAGTATAACAATAATTTTAATATACCCAGTAGTAAACGTACGATATTGTAACAAAAAACTGAAGAATCGTGGGGTTACCTGTAAATTCCTGAATGCTTAGAGTGTGTTTAGTTAGAGAGAAGTCTGTTGTAGAGTTTGCCGGGAAGATAGGAGTAAGTTATTCAATTGTTTCCAGAAGGGAGGGTGATGAAAGGAGTAAAATCATAGGTAGTGGAGAGAGGAACAGGTATAGGAGACTGGGATAAGAGATACAGATATTAAGCGAGTCATTTGTTGTATCCAGATGATGTTATGCTAATGGGCAGCTCAGAATAAGAAGAAAAGTATATAATTTTAGGGAATAAGTTGGGAAAAGTAAATAGTATATAGTTAATGGTGTTGGTTATCTATGGAAGAAACTCGAGTGAAAAGACCGACTTATTCCCACTAACGGTCGTTGTTGGTATAGGTTTTGGTAGGATCATATTACCACTTGGGTAGATGTTAAGTCTTTCAAGGTCAACAACTGTCTTCAAACTTTCTGATATCTCTTTCCCATTTCTACTTTTGAGTTTTTATTTTTACTTTTTGGGGATAATGAGAAGAGTATTATGTCAGTATAGAGTTATTAATTGAAATTTGCGAGTTAATGAGAAGGAGAATTGGTTAATGATATTGAAACACAGTCAAGAAAAATGGGACGAAAAACTCAAAACCAAATTAAAAATACACGTTCCTGAAAATAAAGATTGAAGGAAATAAACTATGAGGTATTTAGAAGACTATAAAACTTTGCTCTTGGGGTTTTATCTTACCATAAAATGACGACTGGAGCAATAATTTTAGAATGCTTGTGGGTCATTTAGGTGATAGATATAAACCATGTGTGACCGTCTTCAATTTTATGGGTTGATGCAGTAGTCTTGACCTTGTATGACCTCTTGAAATAGCTGGAATAGAACATGTTATAATTGTAGATAAGTATTAAAAGATAAAAATAGTTTAAATTTCGATATTGTTCATATATTTAGAGATTATCCCAGTATCTCATTTTCCAGTCTTGAAAATATAGAAATGGTGATGGTCACTCGTCAAAAGAAATTGACTTTGGTAAAAAAAAAAATTGGGATGGTTGTTTGTGTGTCTAGGGGAAAATTGGATTGTTGTTTATTTGTTGATGGGGAAATTGGGATGGTGGTTGTTTGTGTGTCTAGGAGGGGGGGGGGTGGCATTCAGATGGCGATTGTGACAGAATGAGACAGTTAATGTTGAGAGTTGCATGGATATATCTGCTCGTATCCACAGGCAGGGTACGAGTTAAGACAGAACCGAGTTTATTTTTCTCGTAGTTTGAGTTTTCGTGAGTGGCAGAACAAGAGAGGATACTGCTGTAGTTTATGATAGACACACTGTAGTCAGGGCTCTTGAAGGGGAGGACAGATACGGACATTGTATAGCACTGGGGGATTGAGTGGTGTTGGGAGACGTTGAAGTTGTTTTGAAAGCTGGAAATATAAGCCAGAAATATCGTGTATCGAGGAAAGGATTGAAGTTGGTAGTTGATCTAGAAATGAAATGGTGTTTCAAGATATTAAAAACAACAATCAATCTGCATGGGGATTGATGGAGTACAGAATAATTGAGTGAAAAAAGTTATGTGCTTTAGGTCAGATGCTGCCAACATGGTTGTGTTCAAGAAAAAAGGGGATTTTAGAAAGGAGAAAAAGATTGCAAGTGGATGAAATGGAATTCTGCTTGTGTGGAAGTGAAGTAGATCTCGAAGTATAGTTAGTGAAGAATGAGAGAATTGGACAGTAAAGTATGTAACATTGAGGGAAGTGTTTGATAGAGATTTATTACCAATTTAAAAGTGACTTACATATTGCATGCATGTACACATTAGGGACAAGATACACACACACAAGATGTACACTTGCACAAACAGAGATTTCGTATATCTTCAAAAACTTGTAATGCTTGACGATATGGCTGTCGGGAAAAAAATATTATTTGCATGTTATAAGATTCCTTCAAATATGTATATACTGTACTGTACAGGCATAAATTTTAGCACCATACAACGACCTATTACAAGTTTTCCTTTGACAGTCAATGTACTTCTCACAATAATATCACTGTAATAAACTTTCTGTATTTTACATTTGTTTTGGGAATGACTTCGGACACTATGTAGAAGCAGCCCACTACACCGTTGCAATATAAATCTTTTGTCAGATGTAAATTATCTTTGTTTGGTAAGATACGTGACAAAACAAGACAATAACACTCGGTATATTTGTCTTTTTGTAAGATAACAAGAGGATTACATTAGTATATCTCCCTTGTTATCATCCAGGGTACTCCCAAACTCTGGCTATTGTTGAGGAGATAATATCTGTTTGTATTTGTCACCCACATTCTTATTACTATCAGGACTTTTAAGAAAACCAGAACAAACTGAGACACTACAAGATAACGGTAATATGGTTATGTACTCTTCAACATGAATAAAGGAACCGTAATGAGTATTTGTGAAGAGAGACAGAAAGTGTGTGTGTGTGTGTGTGTGATTCGGTCCACTGCATTAAATGGGAGAAGACTTGAAAGAGTAGAAAAAAAAATTATAGTTCGTTATTTTCTCCACAAGATTCTTAATATTCAATGGTATTTATCTATAAATCTTAATAACACGGAAACACTGTGCTGGTTCTCTCGTTTACCCGGGTGTTGGATATTTAAAGATTTGACGCTGCAGCAACATTAACAACCTGTTTCTTTTGTTTAAACATGAAAGTTGAAAAAAAAAGTAGTGAATTTGAGTAGATTTTGAGTAGTTTTGTTTTAGTAATTCTTTAGGCTCTGGTGTCTGTAGATTTTAGAGAAACATATTTTATTCTTTGTGGAAAATGATATATTTGATACTATATAGATACTGAATAATACATGTCACCATTTTTCAATAATCCTTTTCCTTTTTTTATAATTAATGAACTTTCTCCCTCCACGTAGCAAAATAGTCTGTGAAAATGTGTTGTATGAAGGATTCTTAGACTTAGCCTATTAATAGTGTTGAAACCATTGAAGTCTGAAGGAAATAAATATTGGAAAGAAACAAGTGGCATTTTGTGATCAGAAGATTCCACTCGTTAAGAATATTATTTAAACAAATTTTATTTTTGGAAGTATGGACTATTTTTTCAGTCACCATGGAAACAGATCCCTCAAGGTACCTAACCAGACATTAGTACAGTAAACAAGAACACCATGCCGACCACTACAGTAAACTCGCATTCTTCCTTGTTCACGGAAACTCTCGGGCCTGGTAGATACTGGTCGGCTTTATACAAACAAGTACTGTACCATGATTCTCTTAAGACATTTTTTCTATTATTATCATTACTCTTGGACACTTAGACTGGTGGTTACAACAAGCACATGTAAGAGGGCTTGGTGGCTCTTCATCACACAGGGACAACACAGGGACCCTGGGACACACTGCGACACTGGTGTAGGACTCTTGGTGCATGGCTGTGTAGCTGTTTGGCGCCACTCGACTCTGGCGCCCGGGGCACTGGTGGTGGAGGCTGTCTAGATGTTTCACGAACATGCAGGGAGCACTTACAACTGGCATTAGTATTTTGGCTGTGTTTGGTAATCTTAACCATTTTATAAGATATTACATTGATTTCCAACTTATTTTCTTTATTTAAAGTTCTTTCAGTACATTATTAATTACTGTAGTGTTTATTGCATGCTCTACTCTAGAATTCTGAGATGGTAATATGTCAGATGTTGGTGTGAGTGTAAGCTGTAAGTGTTCCCTGCTGATGGGAGCTGGCCGGCCAAGTGTTCTGGCTGGCCAACCCACTCAACTGTGTAGATGTAATAATTTCTCCACTCCTCTAGCTGGCAGGATCACCTATTGTAAGCCTTGGCTAGAAACTACAAAGCTAGTTTTCTTTTTGTTGCAAATAAGAAAACAAGCAATATAGCCACTGTGAGTATTGCTGGCAATGGCTGATCTTACCACATAGAAATGGGTCTAGTCAGGGTTTGAATTTTTCTCCTTTTAACTTAAACATTTATCATTATTTTCAAGTTTTTTCTTCTGTTTTGTATTTATTTTTTATATTTTTTATTTATACATATTTTTGATGAGATTTAAGAAAAATTGTGATGAAATTAACAAGACTATCACATTGGTAATTTAGTTAATAGTCAAAGATGAACTATAAGCAGAATTTGCAAAGTTTATGTAGCACATCTTCCTGACAAGACCCTGCAGATCTGAGCCACTTGAATTGGTTCTCAGCACACCATTGGTTGCCTCTCTGAGTGTTCTCTCGTGTACCTCTGTAAAGTTCTGCGTATATATGTAGACTTCACACGCTACACACTTACGGTTCAATACATGCTGTCATTATGCAAGAATACCAAGTGGATTATATGTGCCACCTCAAAAAAATAAATAAATAAAATTGCCACACCTACATGGTTAAGCCTTTTGGTCAAGGGCCTGGCTTTAAGCTTCTTTAGTTATTTTATGAGGACTAACAACTATTTTATTATTACACCATTTTACTGTGTTTGTGTTGGTTTACTTTATTTGTCCAGTACAATTTAAATTATGTGTTTTAATAATAATAAGATAGACATAAAGATATATATATATATGCATATATATATACAATATATATAAAGTTATCAATAGAATAATAACAATCTGAAGCGGTCATGTTTTACTGAGGACTCTCAACTCTCTCGTTCCAGGACCAGAATGAGTCGGCTGCCATTTTAAAGATCAAGGAGAGTATGCAAGAAGAAGCAAAGCGATTTGAAAAGGACGTTCCACCAGATCATCCAGACTACTTTATGCCGTGACGTGACCCTCTCCCATCCCCACTTTACCCTGTGAACTAGCTCTCTCAGCTCCCTGCAGAACCTGTGACATGGCATTAGTTTGGGATTGACCTTTCCCTCATCCCAGATGCTGAGGACATGTCAAAGCTCGGTAATGAGGGCAATGCGTGAGTGCAGAAATGTGGTGACTGTGTCTGCACAGTGACAGTTTGCCACACAATTATGGTGATGTGATTCTGTGTGCGGTGGAGTGACGATGGGACGACGGGTCCTTACTGACTCTCTCGAGGAACTGGCGTGTCAGCCCTCAACACAATTCTCATCAAGTGAATCAAAACGCAGAACTCCTGTGATGGAGTGCTATCCTACTGTGGAATTTAACATGTGATTAGAAACACTAGTGATTTATCTTACAAAGTCTGGAAAAGCAGGATGAGCACTAAGAAAAGGCTTTATGTATGACTTCTTGCATACACCTTATTAAGAGAAGTGAAAAGATGGCTCTGATTTCTGCTGTTTGATGATAAGTCTGTTGTGTCATTCATTGTGCTTTCTATGTGAATCTTGTAGGAAACAAAATTACTATCAATATTATTTAATATGTTTTCTCAATTTCACTCATTTAAGACCCAAGATCCATAACCTGAACAGCAGTGTCAGGAGACTAGGGCAGCCAAGGGTAGGATGGAGATGTAGATATTTTCATAGACCGTCATTGCTCATGGGTGGTGTCCGCACGCCTCAACTGGACAACCAGTGCTGCCTGTCTCCTGGCTGGACCCTTGTAGGAGTGCCCATGGTTTTCCTCTCTCCAGAGAAAGCCCTCCCCCTCCCCCCCCCCAGTCCCAGGCACCAGCAGTCCCCCATCACTACCACCAACGTCACCCTGGGACGTGCTCCTGGGAAGGACCGACCCCCCAGGGTATTGGCCCTGAGCCAGCTGGAACCTACTCACTTAGGGGCCAGCACTCATGTACAAATCCCCCAGCCTGGGACCTCTGGGACCTTGGCACGTGATCTGCCCTCCACATGTGCAAAAGACAGCAATGTCTGTTCTCACTAGTATTACTCAGACTCTGTTCTGGCCTCAGGCCCAACTCATGTAATATCAGATGGGAAGTCTTTTATTCAGACTACTTTGTGTTAGCTTACCTACTGGACTGGAAGTGATGACCTGTCTCTATTCTGTACAGATCTATCCAAGTGTTGTAGATGTAGGAATAATTTATTATTTGTCATGTCCAAATCTATCACTTTACCTTTCTTCTAGACTCCCTATGTTAAACCGTTTTAACCACAATGGCCACCCCACCCCTCTGTCCATGACCCAACACCACCATTATTACCTCCTTTATCACCACCACCGCCACTATCACCTCTACCACCACCTCACCACCACCACCTCACCACCACCTCACCACCACAATTACCACCAAAACCCTTGGTCCAGCAGTGTGATTTACTTCACTGCTGCCCATTCAACCAGAGCCAAATGTAAATCACTGAAAATTATCGCCCAGGATGCACCACCACCGCCAGACTCGACCACCACACCTGGGGTGTTTACTCTCCTTAAAACATTCTTGTATTTAGAATCATCTTGGCTACATAATTGTATCATCAACTTGTAACATACTTGAGAGAATTCACTACCTTATATGTGTGATACAGTGACCTGTTATTAATTTATTGACTCAGCCTTTAATCTGACTTGATCACACAACACGTAGATAGTCACAAGACACTTCACAGCCTAGGTTGACCTTACCTACTCAACAAGAACCTTCATCATGGCCTAGGTTAAATCACCCTTTCATCAATAACAAACTGACTCATGACCCAGTTCAATTGACTGGGTGTGACCCCGGGTGTACTGTACGTCGCTCTGGTGGTGCGACCGCTCGGCCCGGTTTGTCTGTTCTGACCAAGACCCCCTTGTACAGTAGAACATAGCAGATATATTATGTGTAGCAATTTTCAATAAAATGGCTAAGGCAATAAGACATCCAACAGTAAAATTATCCTTTTCACTCCATTATTTAAATATAAACATTATTTCACATACAGTAGAACCTTAAAGTTGTGTACATCAACAGCTAACTCATGATAAAATTATCTTTTTCTTGCAGACTTGGCCAGTGTTCTGTATATGATATGCTGTAACTAACCTGAATTCTAGATGACCTGTTCCTTTAAACATATCTTCTATGTATGTATTTATATTATGTACACAAACTGATTATACTTTCCTTTGGAGAAGTAATCTGGTGTGATTCTGCTAATGTAATGTAATATTCATGCACATTATCAATACTGTATAGCGTGAAGCATCATCTGAACTATTACAAATGTTATGTTTGGTAATAATGTGTGTGTGTGTACTGTACATGTTTACATACACATACTCACAATTACAATACATATACAGTACAGTCATACACATATCTTTTGGCTCATGCACTCCACACAGTCTCCAAAGTATACACTGTACTGTACTTTTACTTCATTACATTCACTGTACTGTACATGATATTATACAAGTTTACACACATGTATACACATATTCATTCTACATGTTCACAATCAAATCATACATACATAGGCGTTACAAATTTTTTTTCACATACTCCTGGTGCACACATTGACATCCTCAAAAATACACATCTCTTCACCCTCGCCCATACAGTTGGTGCTTGCTTAACATACGTACTTCACTCTTGAATATCTGTGTTAAGTACAGTATACATATTAAGTGGATATTAACTTCCCATAGAGCCCCATGTTATAAGTCGAGATAAATCCAAGAATGTTTCCAAACTTTTCTATATGCCGGATTGCCATTTCGGGAGTTTTTAATACGATATAAACAAAGACATAGTTGCCACATCTCACAATACATGCCAGCACTGTACCAGGTGTAAGTGCAAGTGACTGTACTGTACATATCTTTGAACAGACATACACAACATCAGACAATTGAAACCATTATAAACTTGTGTATCATCGAACATACATTAAACCTGCTCTGACTGTACTTTCTTGACCATTCATACATGCTCTCATACACATCCACAAGTAGGTATTCATACATATACATACATAAATTTACTTTTTGGCTCTTGTTTCCATTTTTGCTTTAATACAATTGTAGAAGAGTTCCTAATTTGTGGCAGGTTTCCCATATACTGTATAATTCTTCACAAAACCTGCACAACAAACATAAACCATCTGAATTTGAGGTTCTACTGTATTGGTGAGTGAGAAATCATGGCAACACTTCAGGCATAAACTTTTAATTGATTTTTCATTGATTTTTGTCTTTTTTCTTTGTTAAACACCCATTCATTCATCCCACTCAAAGACAAAATTTAAGGGTTGTAACTTTTATACTGTAGTGAACTTTAAAGGAGAATGAGGTAATATATCTTGTTTTTCTTTGTCATTAAATGGTGTTTGTAAGAGGAGTTTATGTCTGAGGTAACAAGCAGTTGTAAACTATGTATCATGGAATCATATTCAGCGTAGTCCTCAGGATAACCCATGAAAAACGTTGCTATAATGTCAACTTTCCTGAATATATTTTGAACTGCTGCGGTTGGTGAAAATAAATATTATAGTTATACCAGCTATTTGTGCTATAGGTTTGTAATATCCTGTATAGTGTATCATGGAGGAACGGTGAGTGTTTGTACATCCTCAGTCATGTACCAACTTAACCAATTTATTTGTCAGTGGTGTTAAGTTTTGTACAAATTTCAAATAAACTTTTGAACTGAAATGTAGGTGAACAGTGCAAGAGAATTTCCAAAAAAATTTAAAATGAATTTTCTCCGTTACAATATCTGTGCTGAATTATCATACACTTGAAAACAAAATCATTATGATCATTTAGCTTAAAAATACAGTAATTCAATTCACTTAAATTATTGTTGAACTACAAATTTCTGTTGATTGGCATTAGTCTCAGGGTTTGTACAATGAGACCCTCTATATAACGGACTTCTCTCTCCATCTAATCCGTTAGATGGAGGTTTCACATCTAACGGACCTTCGATTTTATGGATTTTCCTCTCCATTTAGTCCGTTAAATTGAGGTTTCACCGTATTATTAGATTGTTCTTAATTTCTATATGAGGATTATCTTGTTGAACCACACCACACACATGGGGGACTAATTGTGTGACTGTACCCTTATCTGGTGCTCATCTCTGTAACCACTGGACTCATTTTCAATACCAATCAGATTCAGATTTACCTCATATAGTATAAGGGTTAGTTTACTGGATTCTCCTTTACTGCACATCTTGTACAAAGTGACGCACATAAGCCGCATCAAAGGTCATGGTGACAAGAAAGTCGAGGATGACGACCTTCTCAAGAGCATAACTCCTATGTATTACTGCTAGACAAACTGCTGTGTATCACTGCTAGACAAACTGCTGAACACTAAACTTAAAAGCCTTTCAAATGTCAAGGTCGTAACTGAAGGTTCAGAGTCAAATTCACGTCCAAATCATGTTAGTTTTTGTCTTGGGTTTAGGGAGACTTTGTACTTGGCAACTGTAAATTTTTTCCTCTTCTCATTGTCACCAAATTTCTGGACATAAGTGTAGGAAGAACCAACATCAAGAAATTAAATTTTTATTATTGTAGGAAAGAAAATTTATTTCATCGTGTAAATACTTGCTGTAGAAATGAAAACTTTTAATTCCAATGCATAATGGTTTTGTTCTGGGAAACAATTTGTATATTTTGCAAATCCTATGTATGTATTAGTCCAGAACTTCAGTAATAATGACAATATTTTTACTTGAGACTGGCCACCATTACTGAATCAATGTTTATACTCAACAGTTTAATACATGACTGATTTAAGCTCACTGATGTATTTACCGTGAAGATGACATATATTAACAATGCCTCTAACTCATGTACTGCTTCAGGAAGTTTATGGGTTAACAGTCTTGTGTTCCCAGGACCCCTAACTTGTGTGACTACTGACCAAACTCAAGGATTATAGAAAAATTCTCTCTCCTAACTTGTCTTTGTCTGTTACAATAACACACATGCGCTCCACATCTCCTCATGGTCAGAAAACTTGTTGTTCATATATTTCAGTTGACTTCGTGTTTTTAGCAAGCACCGTAAATGCTTCTTATATCATATTTAGGAAGAGCTATACTATGATGGACTGGTTATCATAGTCCAACACAATAATATTCTGTTTTGGCTAGATTTACTCTTGTTGTATGAGTGCTTACAATTGCTTAACCCCTTGTATACGAGGGTCGCCTCTAAGCTGAATAAAGTCATCTGGAATTAACCAAATATTAAAAGTGGTGTTCCCATACTGAAGTGGTTTATGATCTGGTTGGTAGGTAATCGGTGGCTAAGACCCATTACTGTAGTACCTGGTGCTGTGTCCCCTCTGCATAAGTCCTCAAAGATGATATGTTCTGAAGCAGTGTCAGTGAAATTCCATTTTGGAATTTTATGCGTGTTGCTCTACCTCAAGGATAGTCGGATATGCACATAATATTGTCTGGGGGGGGTTATTCTGTTAGTCCCAAGGTATTATCCCGGGTAATACTTGTACACCAGTGAGGAATTTATTTAAACATGCATATTACAGTACCATTTTCATTGCTCCCATTACATCACATAAATTTTCTTGTTGCAACTCTCCTTATAATCTGGTACTATATCTTACAGTTGTGCATATCGCCTCCTGAAACACAGCTTCAGTGTTCATGACTTCTCAGATGAGTCAACATGATAAGGTCTGCAGGACATCCACATGTGAACTGGATTAAGAGGACAATGTTATCCAATACATTTTATGATATGGCGCTAAGAGGGTGTATTTGAGGGTCAGCTCTTGGCTGATGAGGTAGTGGGAATGAGAGCTGTTATAGTGGTAGTAAGTGTTGGTGATACTCTATGTGGAAGGTGACAAATCTTGTTTAGTATCTAACCTGGGATGCTCTCTACTGTACCTCTATATACCAGTATTGTACTGTAGCTGATTTTTATTGGATTTCTAGAATTTAGTCGTAAGTCACACAAGTTAGGGGATCTGGGATCACTGGAGTGTCCTAACAAACTTGTCTGATCAATGCGTTGTAATATAATTGAATTTAAGAATCGCTCCCTCATATTGTGCACTGAAGTCCAGAGTTTATTTTCCTCCCGTGTCCAGGATGAGGGACCTAGGAAGGTATGCTATCTGTGCAAACATGGTATGTCTGTCAAGAAGTTGAGTGTGAAAGTGAATTAATAGTATTTGGTTTTAACCAGTCGTTCTATGTTGATAATTCATTAGGTCTCAGATAAGTTTGATAATGTAATCGGTAATTTGTTGTAACTAGATTGTGTGAGGTGGTGGGAACATTTCCTCCTTTAGGCAACAACCTTTTTGGATCATACAATACTATTCCTAGTAATAGTGTTAAACAAAGTATTGTTGAGAATTAGATTCATTCATTCCATTCATTATATGTACAGTACTATGAATTATTTTTTTTTTAAATTCAATTCACAATTTCCGATGAGTTACTGAATTCAATTTTCATCAATCCTAAAAATTGTAAAGTTTGTCAGGAAGCTCTACTTATATTTCCCAGATACTGTACTGTACCTTCACTGTCACACTCACAAGTTTAGGTGCTTATGCTGCCACGGTGGCTTCCTGGATAGTGAGCTTGGCAGTTAACACTCGAGTCATCAAAAAGGCCTGATGGAGCATAATCAGGATCAACTTGCTGCTGGTATCATACACAGAAGTATCAATGTCATGAGCACCATGATGACAATGTTTTGCCATGGGTCAGCGTGTCAAGTCGTATATGATAGGCCTGTACAGTACATACCAGCAAGTCACTTCAGATTTGGGAGACATCACACTGACAACTTGTGGATTTATCTCATTGGAAGACTTCAGATGACAAGGTAAGCAACTACAGTACAAGAGAAATGTGAACACATGAAATGAAGGTGAAAAGCTGTACCTAGTAATTATTGTAGACTTAGTAAAGGTATTTGACGGGGTGCTATGGGAGGTAGAACAGTACCGTCGGAATTGAGAAGATGGGATTGAAGAGTGTTGTGATCAAGTGGTTATGGCATTATATGAAATCCCAAAAACTGGGCTATTATTGGGGTATTTGAGATGAAAGCAGGGGTTCATCAAGGGTCTGTTTTGAGCCTCTTCTCATTATCATGGGGCTAGAAGCACTGTCTTGGGTCTATAAGTCTGGTCTGCTCTGGGAGTTATGTGGATGACTTGGTACTGTTTACACGCATACTGTTGGAGAGAGCAGAGAAATTTAAGAAGTGGGGGGATGGAGTAGATTTAAAGGGATTGAGATTGAATGTGACCAAAGCAAAAAGAGTGTGGGTTAGAGACCTGTGGTGAAAAGTGGAAAATGGCCATGTCTTGCCTTAAGTATAGTGTTGACAGCAACTTAATAATGTGCAGCGACTGTGGAAGGTGAATACAAGAGGTGGAGTGGCATAAATCGCTGACTGCAGGATGTTGCTCCCAATGATGTTCTGTAGGACAGGTATTCATGTGGCTTTAAAAAGGCTGAAAAAATTCAACACGGGATATATCCCTGAATGACTACAGTACTGCTACTTGGGTGACATTAACAGTGCTGAAGACACCTCAGTTGCAAGTCGGAAGTTGCTGGCAAGAGGGTTTTCCCTCTGTGAAAGGAAAGCTGTGACCTTTCCTACAGTCACCAAGAGTATCTAAGTATATACTACTATTGAAAAATCGCCAGAGAATAAAGGGATAACAAAGGAAGAGGTGCATAGAGAGTAACATTACACAGTGGCTGGAGGAGTTAAAGCCCTGTAGTGGATAATGTCTGGTATAAGACACCATAACATCCTAAACAATGTACAGTACTGTGCAGGGCAGCTATGGCACGACCCTTTACTCCAACAGAGGGAGGGAGAGAGATCACCTGAAGAATCACCACCTCTGCTTATTATATCCAAAGATTAGCCACCCTAATGCTAATCTATTCTCCCCTATCAATACTAACCGCAACCTCCAAATAGTATTAGGTTGGTTAATATTTAAGTGAAATAAGTTGGGATGGATGTTTTTAAAGTGATAAAAAGAAATATTGACGCGATAGAAGGTTCCAGAGAAGATATTTAGGTAATATGAAATAAGAAATTAAAATTATAAGACAAAATGGAGGAATCTCGTTAAAACACTACAGAGGAAGATAAAAGAAGTCCAAGTAATAGAAATACAGAGTAAGACGACAACAATTACAACGACTAAAAAGGATAAAACATTAAAATACAAATATATTGTAAATATTCGTATACAGTACGTGTTTATTTTTTAACTGGGAATAGCGGGCACAAGTCATCAATCCACAACGGGACCTGGGGGGCAATAAATAAGAGCAAAAATTAAAAATAAAATAAAAATATATTAATTACATTCTACACCAAGATGCCGGAAAACCAGCTTTTTGAAGTGAGAGATTGAATGAATATGGGAACAAGAAGGCAGAGCAATCCACAGTTTGGCTATGTGAGGAAAGAAGGATGTATTGTACTATATAACTGGTTATTCTATTGTGACCGACATCCAGAGAGAAACGTTGGGCAACGCGGGCGAGACGTGTGTTACTACTAGCCCACGGCCTTGCCGGCGGTACTCAGGATGCCAAATCCACCGAACTTTGCCCTTTAAAGTACCTGTAAAAGAGTGAAATAACTTTGCGGCGAAGAGAAAGGGAAGAGACACTGTCAACTAGAGGAGAGTTAATAAGACGAAATGCCTTTTGATTCCACCCTATCTAACAGTTGGACAGAAGAGCCACCCCTGATATGAGAGCAATACCCCCAAGTTAGGTCGAATTAATCCCTAATAAACTTGAAGAAACTGCTCAGGAGCGAAGTAGCTACGGCATTTGTAAATGCCAGGACGAACAAATGGTCCCCAGTGAATGGAAAGTGGCTTATGTGAGTCCTATCTAGGCTATCTTCAAGAAGGGCGATCGTCACTCCACGAACAACTATAGACCGGTGAGCCTGACCAGCATAATATGTAAAGTATTAGCAGAGCTGCCGCAATGGAACATCTACTACGAAACAACCTTGTAAAAGATTACCAACACGGTTTTATGCCGGGGCGCTCCTGCTTAACACAATTGCTCAAGGTATTGGATATTTGGACCCATATTCTGGAACGGGGTGGTAATATCGACAATATTTACCTAGATTTTGCCAAGGATTTCGACAGTGTACCCCACGAATGGCTTAAAATCAAACTGGAAGGGTACGGAATTCGGGGAAATGTCCTAGCGTGGACAGAAGACTTTCTACATGACTGCAAGCAGTGTGTGGTGATTAATGGTACGAAATCGTCATCTGTACCTGTCACAAGTGGGGTACCACAGGGCAGTGTATTGGGCCCGCTGTTGTTTGTTTGTTTCATAAATGACATGCCTGACGTTGTACACTCCTCCATACAAATGTTTGCCGATGACGCCAAGTTATTTCGGGAAATTAAGAACCAGGCGGACTGTGAAGAGCTGCAGAAGGATCTTTGTGGGCTCCAGGAATGGTCGAAGAAATGGCTGCTGAGATTCAATGTCACGAAGTGTAAGAGGATGCACCTGGGGCGTACCAACGGTAAGGAGGCGTATCATATGTCCCAACGGGATGAAGAAACTGCGCTAGTTGAGACTGTGTGAGAAGGACTTAGGTGTGTATGTTGACAATGAGCTGAAGTTCTCGGGCCATTGTGAGAAGGTAAATCGGGCAAATAAATTATTGGGTCTTATAAGAAGGTCGTTCAGATGTCTAGACGGTCCGTCCCTTGTAACGATCTTCAGGAGTGAAGTGCTTCCCCATCTGGTCCCCGAGATATGCTAGGGACTGTCAGTTGGTTGAAAATGTTCAAAGGAGGGCCACCTGACTGGTGCCTGCACTTCGGCACCTCAGCTACCCTGAGAGATTGGAGCGCCTGAACTTGCCTAGCTTATACTACAGACGGGCAAGGGGGGACCTAGTTGAGTGTCCTTACTTGGAGCTGGGGGACGCTCGCCCCACAAGGGGTCACAGCTCAAGATTGAAGAAGCCGCAAGTCCAGAATACCGTGAGGGTTGTAAACTCTTGGAACAATCTACCAGAGAGTGTTGTGACGGCACCAAGTGTGAGCTCTTTCAAGACAAGACTTGACCAACACTGGAGCGGGATCAGGTACATTCAGGAGCCGGTGCATGCCCAGTATTCGCCAGCAGTGCTTGACAGAGACGTGACCGATCGCCCGGGTGGCTAGCGAGCCGATCTTTTGGTGAAGAAGATAAATGAAAAGGAAAAGTAATCAGAGACGTGGCCGATCGCCCAAGCCGCTAACAAGTCGATCAGTGGCGAAGAGGATAAAAGAAAGTAAAAGCATTCACACCTTTCGGGAGGCAGCTTTAGCAATGTTGTGGTTGTGTGGTTTCCATCATCCATGACATTAGAGGAAATGGCGAGGCCTAGCATATCACGTGTAATTTAAAATTTGGCAGAATGATAGAATCCTGAAATGTGATTGGTGGGAGATCATCTAATTTGGAAGCGTAATTGGTAAATACTGTTTTATTAATATTATATTTAATAAAGTTTCTACCTCCCTATTCGGAGATGCTGCGCAGCAGATCCGCAGAGGAAGCTACATAAGTTGAGAATATCAATACTATATAAACAAATCATACATAATAATGATGAATTTTATGAATAAATATCTATATAACCCAGCCGATCAGTGGCGAAGAGAATAAAATAAAAATACTAAGTTATATCACTACTATTCATGACGTCATCAGTTCCATAAGCATCCGACCTTATATAACTTTTGATTTATTATAATAAATGATATTATAACTTAAATTAAATCTAAAATAATAAAATATAACTTCCAATTACATAAATTAATGTAACTTAGCAGTATTAATTTATTTTAGGTGTTTATATACATACTGTCTTTCAACGGCGCCTCTGGTATCAGCTGTTTCTCGGCAACTCAGTGTACGTTTCCAAGATGCTTAATATTTCGAGGAATACTGCTCGTCTCTGCCAGGTAAGGTTATTATTATATATCACATAATAAAATATACACTTTTGTCAGTATTGTGTGTTAGTTATATAGATAATAATGGTATATATTCAGAGATATCTTGATTATTGAGATGCCGTGATGAAGGTTTGAGCTTAGGTTTCTTCAAGTGGTTTGTTTATCTCTAGTTTTTCTAAATTACACAGTATAATCATCAACTCTGTACGGATTATTGTCCAGAACTTGCAGATTATACTATTAAAGGATACGATTTTTATTATCTCGCGAACATAATTGTCCCGTGATGAAAGATTAACAAATTAACCTTAAATCTGAAAGATGGAGACTCGGATTAATGTATAATAACTACAGCAGAGACAATCATTTTGTAACTTTGTGTATTGGGAAAGATTAATTATATTCAGAATTCTCCTTATAATGTCACTATACTTGATAATTCTAAATAGTTGAGAATTTACAATGTATTTTTATATATGTAAGGTGGGTAGGGTGGTACTGTCTCATATTCTTCAGTTAAGTTTAGTGTAAGTTACTTCATCACTGCCAGGAGCATCAAATACAGTAAAACCCCGCTTTATGCGGTTTCACTTTACGCATTTCCATGTTTACACGGTACCCTGCCGAACACGGAATGCTCACTTTACGCAATGCATGTACTCTATTACGCGGAGAGCGGCACGGGCAGGGTGCGCACAAGGTCGCCCAGTCATCAAAACATTACAGAGTTCTTCACCCGCCACCCACCACAGCCGGCCCAAGTCAGTGATAGTGATAATGATAGTGAGGATATGGACTTATATGCTTTGAGGGGTTTGACAAAGAGGCCCTGCAAGCCTCTGTGGTGGATAGTGATACAATTGATACAAGTGATAGGTGAGGGCCAATAATCTGCCCTCTGCCTCGGAACCAACCCCCCATCCCCGTGTGCCCAGCCATCTTTTCTATTAATGTAAGTGTTAAAAACATAATATTATTGATATTTCTCTTAATTATTAATTGTGTGTGCATACCATCATAAAATTAAGAAGTTATTTTTACTACAACGTAGGTTTTGTGTCTGAAAAAGTGGAGTTTGGGGGTCGGCCCAGTCTCTATTTCAATTAATCCCATATGTTATGTTGTTCACTTTACGAGTTTCTCGCTTACGCGGGCCGCCGTGGGTTCAATTGACTTTGTAAAGTGAGGGTTCACTATAGTGTACAGTAGCTACTTTACATATTGTTGAGTAGACAGGGAGGAAATTGAGCTCACCGTGTCACCGTGATTTGATTGTTTTTATTAATTTTTCCTCAGGCTGCTGGGCGCCGATTGCAGTCAACTCTGGTGGTCGCCGAGCACGATAACAAGACTGTGACGCCCATTACCCTTAATGCCATCTCTGCTTCCAAGAAGCTGGGAGGGGATGTGACATGTCTGGTGGCTGGCACTAAGTGTGCTAATGTAAGATGGGTGTTCCTATAGTGTGCGGCCTTACCTTACCTAAACTAAATATGTTGTAGACCGCATGCTATAGTAGCACTGTAAGATGTATTTCACAAATTATGTTCTGGTTTATAGTTTGTTATTATCCCAGGATAGTCTAAAGACCAGAATATTCAGTTTTATCTTGGATCGCCTAAAGATTATCCTCCCCCCACTTCAGAACATAAGAATGGAGGAAACTGCAGCGGACCTATTGGCCCATGGTGGGCAGTCCCGTTTACACCCAACACCTATCGCTCATAAATCCGTCCAACCTATATTTGAAGCTACCCAGTGTGATCGAGTTAATGGTGATGTTCGGTAACTTGTACCACTCATCCCTCATCTAAATTTGTCTAATTTACAACCATTGCTACGAGTTCGCTCCTGGTTGTATAGTTGAGTACCTTTGTTATATCACCATTGCTTAGCCCTAACTTCCATTTATACACCTCGATCATATCGTCCCTCACTCCACGTCTCTCGAGCTAGAGCAAATTCAATGCGTTAATCTGTCTCTATACTCAAGGTTCCTAATCACCGGAATTAGTCTTGTCATCTTCCTCTGAATGCTTTGTAAGGGTTCAATATCCATTCTGTAGAACAGTGACCAGAACTGAATTGTGTAATCCAAGTGAGGTCTCACAAGCGCAAGATATTAGTTTTAGGATGACCTCGCTACTCTTGTAACTAACACTCCTTTGTATGAACCCAAGTACTTTGTTAACCTTGTTTTGAGCAAATATGCATTGTTGAATTGGTTAAAGATTCCTACTTGTTATTACCCCTAAATCTTTCTCAGTCGGATTTCTCTATATCAATGTTGTTCATCTGATATCTGGTTTCTCTGTTTACATCTCCTAGATTTACCACTAGTGACGTTACCCCAATCAGATTTAACGCTGTTAATACTGACTCTCTGCTTCCTGTCCTGTTACCACACCGTAATCCAATTTAGATTATCTCCTTCAATTCCATGAGCCTCCACTTTATGTATAGTCTTTAGTGGGGGACCCTGTTGAAGACTTTGCTAAAGTCGAGGTAAACCACAGCATAATCGAGTCCGTCATCCATCAATTCGAAAACAGTTGAAAAGAATGTTAATAGACTTGTCAGACATGAACGCCCACTTTTGAAGCCATGTTGGGAATCGTTGATCAACTTGTGCTTCTCCAGGTGATTTCGAATTGAGTTTGAAATTATTGCTTCCAGCAATTTGCCTACAATTGATGTTAATCTGATTGGACGGTAGTTAGAGGATAGTGATGAAAATCAGTATTGTATTACATTCGCTATCCTCCAGGATTCTGGTACTACACCCATTTTTAATGACATGTTAAACAAGTGTGCTAAGGGCATACTAAGTTCTTCCTTACATTCCTTTGATACTCTGGCAAATATCTCATTGGGACCTGGTAACTTATTAGGTTTTAGCTTATCTAGTACTCTAGATTAAGAAGCTTTGATAATTAATTATTCTAATTCATATGAGGACACATAATAATCAAAATTAATTATAAAAATTTCAACAATTCGACCATGGATCCTTAATCAGCGTGTCATAGACGACCTGTACTGGGATTTTGAGCTACTTTGTGATAATGATTTTTAGATTTTGATCAGTACAGTAAGCACTTAGCCATAACTTGATCATCTCTCAAACAGTTAATTCATCTTTTTATGGCTTAGAAATTAATAAAGTACATATTAAAGGTTTCTTCATTGTCTACCCAAACTTTTTTACCATTAACGTACAGGGTTTCCTCTCCCTTTGAGGTTCTTCTGATCACTGACTTATTTCTGTGTTGTAGTGATTCTTCCTTAAGTTCTGTCTGCTCTTTCCCAGACATACATTATCAGACACCAAGATAGAACTGATTGGGTCAGTTTGGGGGAAATTTACCCTTATTTGCTTTGATCATTGCAGGTCGTGGCCGAACTGTCCAAAACTTCGGGTGTGAGCAAGATTCTTGTGGCGGACTCGGAAGCTCTAGTGGGCTTCATGCCTGAGTACCTTACACCTCTGATCTTGGCCACTCAAGATCAGTTCAAGTTCACTCATATTGTTGGTAAGTTAATTTGTAGTGTGTGTATATGAATGTAAGCTGAGGAATTTCTTGTGTTCTATTCTTGAAGTGTTCAGCTCAGTGCACAGTCAATTGGTAAATATGTAATGCCCCACAGCTCTTTCAGGCATGAGATTCAACTAATGTCAAACTGTTGGTATAGAGATAGTGAGATTTTTTTATGCTTTACACCCTCCATCTCTATTTTGTAGGGCAGGGGTTTGCGAATCCCCAGGGATACGCAGAAGGGTTTCCAGGGGATACATTGAGGGTCGGCAAAAATCAGTATAGAATATACTAATTTCACCAGACTTAATTCATGAGGTGATATAAATTTAATGTTATATTTACATTATGGAAAGTAGCTTCTCCCCAAGTACCAAATATGTTTTAACACTGCCATTTTACAATGAATTAGTGTTAATGTAATACCATTCTATATTCAGTGTCTCAGTAATGTGGGTATGGGTCGATGGTCTGATAACTCAAGGGGTACCTGGTGAGAACAAGTTTGAGATCCCCTGTTAAGTAGGGTGACTCGTGTAGCCATACCTTACTAAAAGCTTTATACAGTTAAAATTTACCTGGGGGTACAATAACTGATGTTGCATTGTGTTTTGTGTGGGAAAAAAGTGTAACTTTAAATGGCAGTGTTTATGATTCATTGCTATTCAAATTTTTTTCTTACTGTTTTATTCATTGAAAGTTAAGATGAATTGATTAATTGCTAAGCCATTGTCCACAAATGATACAGTGAAACCTCTATTTAATGGATTAGATAGAGCGAAGAAAGTCTGTTATATTGAGGGTCCAATAGATATAAAACCTCAATCTAAAGAATTACATATACGTACAGTATACATGTATAAAGAGAAGTCCTTTAAATTGAGGTTCCTCTGTATTCAACCCCTAGGCTTCAGGTTACATCCTGTAACTTGTGTCTGTAGAGCATTGTGTCATGACACTACATTTTGATCATTCGCTAGCCTATTTGAATAAAAAGGGCAGGCCTGTCTTAGATTATGTTGCCAAGGAGGTAGTATTTATCTTTCACTCACACATGAGAGTATCCCAGTCTCTTCAGCTTTTGTGATGTAGACATCCTGCCCTTGGACTTGACTCACTTTGTGTTTCTACCCCACCAACCCCCAGTAATATTGATTGTTAATAGTGTAAGTACATGTAGTAATAACATAGTAAAACAAGAGTCCTGTACCTCACATTGCCTACAAATTAGTGTTGTTTTACACACACATTCTCGACTCTTCCTAGCCCCGGTGTTGCCAACCTGTGATAAAGACATGTATTTATTTCCTGTTTATATCATGCATGGACAGTTTGTAAGATTAGAATTTTTTTTTTTTTTAAATACAGTACTGTATTCCCAATTATACCAGCATGGGGTAGACCATAACCCAAAGCCCAGGGGTTAAGAATAGTGTGATGACCTGTGTTATATAGTACTGTACTGTATATATTAAAAGTGTGTTGTGCTTCAACAGCTGGTGCATCGGCACAGGGCAAGTCTCTGCTACCACGAGTTGCTGCCAAGTTGGACGTTTCACCGATTAGTGATATCATTGAGATCAAGGCTCCTGATACTTTTGTCCGCTCAATTTATGCTGGTAACGCCCTCTTAACGCTTAAGAGCAAGGATCCCATCAAGGTTGTTTTCATTGAATAAAGTATTCTGCTGTATATTTGGAAATATATAGTTTGTAATGTTTTCAATTCAAGATTAAATACCTCAACTTACTAGCATATCTTCACCCCACATGTAGTACTGTATACAGTGTACTGTTAAGAGAGATATTTCCTGTACAGTTTTAATGTGATGTTGGGTTATGTTGCAGGTGATCACTGTGCGGGGGACCAGCTTCGAGGCAGTTAGTCTTGACGGTGGAAATGCTGCAAGTGATGAGGTGGCTATGCCTGATGTCCCAGCGGGTATATCCGAGTTCATTGGTCAGGAACTGTCTAAATCTGATCGGCCAGAATTGACTGCTGCTAAGGTTAGTAAACCAGTTATTTTATGGGAAAATGTTAGAGAATCATTTTAAAACATAAAATTGTGTGTATCAATTTAAGGTCACTTGTGTGCCTGAAACATCCAAATTTGACAACAAAATGACACAAAGACAATAGACAATAAATAGCCTTGTTGTCATTTTATAATAAAATTTGGGTGTTATGGGTACCAAAGACTATAGTCTTGGTGTTTTTCTACAGTAAAATTTGACTGTAAAAAGACACCAAGACTATAGTCTTGGGTGCTTGAAACACCCAAATTTTACTGTCAAATTGCACCCAAGGTCACTTGTGTGCCTGAAACATCCAAATTTGACTTTTTCAGACACCAAGACTATAGTCTTGGTGTCATTTTACAGTAAAATTTGGGTGTTATGGGCACCCAAGAGTATAGTCTTCGTGTCTTTTTACAGTAAAATTTTACTGTAGAAAAACACCAAGGCTATAGTCTTGGTGTCTGAAAAAGTCAAATTTGGATGTTTCAGGCACACAAGTGGCCTTGAGTTGATACACACAATTTGATGTCTTGGAAAATTTTAATGCTGGATCACTACAGTACTTATTTTTCCAACAGACCCAGGAGGACAAAAAAAAAGAATCTTGTACAGTGTAATTGCAATTTATTTAAAAAATTTACATAAACTTAGTACTTTACATACTCTCTCTCCTGAAGATGTGAATTACACGGAAGTGCTTGGGAACTTCGTGTTTTCTTGAAATTCCCAAATTTGACTGTAAAATGACACCAAGACTATAGTCTTGGGTGTCTAAAACATCCAAATTTAGGTGTTATGGGCACCCAAGACTATAGTCTTGGTGTCATTTTACAGTCAAATGTGGGTGTTTCAAGCACCCAAGAGTATAGTCTTGGGTGCTTGAAACACCCAAATTTGGGAGTTTTAGACACCCAAGAGTATAGTCTTGGTGTTTTTCTACAGTAAAATTTGGATGTTTTAGACACCCAAGACTATAGTTTTGGTGTCTTTTTACAGTCAAATTTTACTGTAGAAAAACACCAAGACTATACTCTTGGGTGCCCATAACACCCAAATTTGGGTGTTTCAAGCACCCAAGACTATACTCTTGGGTGCTTGAAACACCCAAATTTGACTGTAAAATGACACCAAGACTATAGTCTTGGGTGCCCATAACACCCAAATTTGGATGTTTTAGACACCCAAGACTATAGTCTTGGGTGCTTGAAACACCCAAATTTGGGAGTTTTAGACACCCAAGACTATAGTCTTGGTGTCTTTTTACAGTCAAATTTTACTGTAGAAAAACACCAAGACTATACTCTTGGGTGTCTAAAACTCCCAAATTTGGGTGTTTCAAGCACCCAAGACTATAGTCTTGGTGTCTTTTTACAGTAAAATTTTACTGT